CGGATCTAGTGGTATTACACAGGACGGGGTGTGTCAAAACTACCTCAAAAATAACCACAAAAATACCATAAAAACTACCACAAACGCATCACAAAAAAAAGGCCACAAACCATAAATCTATCTCCACCGACACGCTCTTAAACCATCATCTCCATCTAGGCTCGTCGCTGCACTCGACCGAATATCTAACATGATCCTCACTGTGGGCGACAAACTCAAGCGCCATTTAGAGGGACGGGGTTTGCCGCTCACATTGACTAATAGCGGTGATGGATTCTAGTGCCTTTAGTCCGGTGGCTTCGAGTGTCTTCAGTTCAACAGCGATGCTCTCAGGTTGAGAGGTGAGGGATAGAGAGAGACGAGTGAGGGAGAGTTAGGAGATGTGGGCTGTCGTCGCCGGAGAGTGAAGGATAGAGAGAGATGAGTGAGGGAGAGGGAACAAATGGGGCTACATCTGGGTAGTGTGTAGGGTTTTTTTCTTTTTAGGTAATTTGTTTATTTAAATAATTAAAAGACAATCTGAATTTTGAAATGTCAAACTTCCCATCTGATTTAGGAATTTTGAATAGTTAAAATATGATTTTGTGTAATTTCCACTTATAAAAATATATCGAAATTCTCTTGTGTAGACTCGATCCTGGCTCAAGGCAGACTAGATAGTGGCCTAGGGCTTCGAGATTTTGAGAGGCCTCATTAGAAATATATAATGAGGAAATTACATGTAATACCCGTTTTTAAATTATAATTTACAAAATACACCATAACTTTTTCTATACCATTACTGCATTTTACAAAGCAAAAATGGAAAAACAATAAACAACCATATGTCATTTGATGTTCTTGACAACTTCTATTACTCCACCAAACAAGCCGCAATTTAATTTATTTAATTAAGGCAGCCAAATCCAACAATTTATAACTCAAGACCATGGAAATTAACAACTAAAGTAGAGACAGAGAGTATGGTCCATATCATAATATGTGATATTACATATAATGACACGCCACATAATCGACAGGATTATATTACCATCATATGCCACCTCAAAATCACAATGTAAGAAGATGAAATGCAACACAATTTTTTGAACTATCTTCGTATATTGCAGACACAGATACATACAATATTATGAGGTATGTTGATTATCAAAAATTCCCATCTCCTCAACTATAATATTGTAAGAAGAAGGCAGTATGCAATACACAGAATTCCGTTCTTCTTCTTTTTTAATTAGAATTTCACATAATCAAATAAGTTGTTCTATAACATCCCAAATCACAGTAAGTATTCGTATACACAGAACATCTGGAAAACATTGAATATATTCTCTTTTGTTGCAGCCAACGGCGTGATATACATAAATTTCTTGACATCATCTTGTAAATTGTATATAGAATCTGAAGGAAAAATCGGAAATACCTTGTGCTAAAAACAAAACTTAATGCAGCAATGCCTTCAAAGGGATGTATCTTGATCTATATATGCAGAAGACGATGATTCAAATTATGTTTTTCTGCCATAGATGTTTATCCCCCATCCCATTTTTTTTAATTTTTTTTTTTAAATTAATGCCTGAATTTGGAAGGGACATTAAATGGAAAGCATGAAAAATGGCTGAATTCAAATTACATGAATTACAAAATGTGGGTTGGATTATAATTTTGGAAGTAAGTATTTTTAAAGATAATTAACATTGTAATTAGTGTTTTTTTAATTTCATTACCATCACACAGTAAAGTGTGAATTAATTTTTTGTATTGGGGTGTGTGTGTGTGTGTGTGTGTGTATATAGGCCCGAAAATAGAACTATCAAAAACCCTCCCAATATTTCATAAGAACATCGTTTTTTTCTAGGGTTACAGAAAGATTGGAAGAGATATTGAGACTTTGATTTATTAAATTCAAATCATCAATTTCGTCGAACACCACCACTACCTTAGAAGTCCAAGGGCCGAGAAGGATGAAAAGAATCTATGTAAAATAATAAAATTCTACATCTACTCCTTTTAGTTTGAAGTAACGATTCAATCAAATTCCACGTCTAAGAGCTTACCATGTAAGGAAATTGAAAAGATCATGAACGACCGTTGCGTAAAATTGCTCTTTCATCTAGGGTGCAATTTTAATATAAGAAACTTGCTGTCTCCAATCTACTTTGATTCCCTTTTTTATTTTTATTTTTGAAAGTTTGAATCATGTGAAATTAGATTACTTGCTCTTACAATGTAGGCTTAAGCCTGCCTGAAGGTAAATCCATTTTGGCATAATTAATTAGGCACAAATTGAGTCTATAACATTGGAAATTTTAGAATATTTTTCTGTCACTTGTCTCCCTTGGTTTATAATGAATTTCTTTAGAAATTTGGGAGGGAGAAAACTCATCATGGCTACCAACCAATAATTTGGCTACACGAGAACACATTCTTTTCTTTTTACAGAGCTAAAAAGAAGGGCGTGTATTTATGAGGTAGAATGGTAAAGCCAATTGTTGAGGGTGATCGAATATATACAAAATTTGAATGCCTTGTGATAATTAATTGTCTACAGTCTCAAAATTATCAGGGCCAATCATGCTTTTGTGTTCAACCAATATGGAATTTGCAAATGGTTCCTCAGTCTTTGATTGATTTCCATTTTTTCAAAAATCTATTTTTTCAAAACTCACTTTCAACTATATATTCTCCAATATTACGCACAAACTCAAACTTTTTCCTTATTTTTTTAATCACGCATTCTTAAAAAAATCACTCTTTCAAAACAATTTTTCTGTAAAATCTACTTTGATGAAGCTCAACAGGAACGTAGCTGTTCTAGACATGTCAAAAATTGTTCATGGTATTACATAAGCGTCGTTAGACCTTTACCAGATACGGTGCCGTCAATTCCATGTTTAAGTTCGAACTTCTGATTGGTAAACAAGGATTTTTAGAGGCAGCAACATTGCTAGTTGCCTGTGTTTAAAAAAAAGAATAAGTGAGCTATCTTGGCTCAGCTTGGCTTGATAAGGTCCGAGCCAAAAGTTTGAGTCGATCCTAGACTCAGCTCCGCTCGGCTTGGGCCAAAAAAAGCTCGAGCCATCTTTACTCAAGCCAAGCCCAAGCCTCAAGTTTTGACTCTCAAATCTACTCAGCTCGACTCGTTGACTTTTCTAATTGGTACAATCCAATTTATACTTAAGGATGTAAATTTTCATAATACTAGTGGAATTATACCCATCTCATCAACAAAAAATTAAGCAAACACAAAAATCTCAATTGGAATCACAAAATAATTCATTTTGTGCAATTAAAAATATATATATATATATATTTCCAACATGATTTAATAAATTATTTTGGTGATGGGTACTTGGGTAACGCTTTCACTAAAGGGAGAACTACCCCTGTAAATAATTTTAATCTCATATAAATACAGTAACATCAAACTTACACCAAGACAAACATTTTTTATTTTTTTGTCAATTCACAGCAGACACATTGTTACCAACATAACACGACCATATAAAGATCACAAGCTAATAGGGGCACTAGGCACGGTCTAATCTGAGGCTATGATTTGAGAGCGAGAGAGAGAGACCCGGGGGACCCGCCGGGGGGGGGGGGGGGTTTTTTACAATCTCTTACGAAATAGAATTCAAAGTAGAGTCAGACCTGTATTTAGACCGAAAACCAATCTTGAAACTAAAACACTACTTCTCATGAAAATAAAGTCCACCGGATACAATATTAATTGTTGAACGACCTCATTTAAGAACTTAAGTTGTATTAGAGAAGATACATTTGTTTATTCAAACTTAGTTTTCAGCATGCCTCATCCTGATCACCGGTTTCATTATTTTAAACTGATTAGTGGTTGAACATGGATTCTAGCAAGCTGAGGATCAAATTCATAGATTTCTGAGTCATTTGCCATCTTAAGTTTTATCTAGTGGGTGGAACTTTGTAATGTCAATGCTACTTATCACTTTCTCGTGCATATAAAAGCTCCTAGCTTAATCTTTCTCTTCAGCCTTTTCATTTTCATTTTCATTCTCATTATATCATATTTGTGCACACAATAACTTCCATCTTGGTACTCTATCTTGTACAAGAGTGGATGAATATGCACACAAAAGCTCCTAGCCTTTCTACCTTCATCTATCTCCCCGGTTAGTGGTACTCTTTATCGTGTATTACTAATAAGAGTGGGTGAACCATAGGACAGCTAAAAAAGGGATCATTTGTTAGAATTACCTTTCATGCTTGAATATAAATTCCCATCTCATTAATGTGCCACATTCCGTATCAAATGATTATATGCTCTTGGCAAATAGTCCTCATTACCATCTGGATGCAACCAGCTCAGCATAATGCAGCAATATAAATTTGCCTTAGGTCTCTGACATAATCATCTAATACATTCACTCCTATTATTCCCGGTTTCCTTAATTATAAAAATCCAGCATGCTCACTCCTACAATTTCAAACAATTTTGGCAGAACCTTGTCCAATCCTATGCTTCTTCTAACTTAAATTCTCTAGAGAATTATGGCCCAGTGCAAAGAATTATCTCGGTAACTTAGAGATATAAAAACCAAACACTTTGCATATGCTGCAAAACCATGCTATGCAAGAGGCTAGGGAAAATCCAGGCATACCGTCCTGAAGTTTGATCCCATCGACAAAGTTCACATCGGCGGTAATGGTACACAGATTCCACATATGGTCCATTACTTTCACCAAGTCCTACCAGTCAAATTTATTCAATGTTTTAATGAAGAATAACTTATAGTGCAAACTGCAGATTTCTCCAACCACAATATATCCATTATAAACTTTGTAGGTTGCATACTAGGAAACTCGAGTATAGACAATTAAAACATGGAGAAAATAGCACAAAGATTCAGGGAAAAAAGGATATAAAACAGAAAGATAACATTCAATTCTTAAAACATAATAAATGAACAAGATGTCTGCTAAATAATTATTGATCTTAATATCTAATTCTACAAGAAACGTGATAAAGATTAGGCAAAGCATCCAAAACACAGATTTTAAATCGCAGGTGATAGATCCAATCTAGATACAAAAATCTCCAGCAAATTTCCCCTGATGACGAAGCAGTTCCTCATATATTGTTCTACCAAGATATATTACAATTCTAATGTATAATATTCAAATAACCATCAAATAGGATTACCTTTACCCTCAATCCCATTACATCCGACCTGATTCGATCGAATTCAATTACACACGCGTAGCGACTGATGGGGCAGCTGCAGCCGCGGCGGAAGCTGCGCCACCTAGAAAGGAAAGAAGCCCAGCATTAGCCGGCTCTGAATCGTCCAGGAACAAATCCTCAGGCACGCGAAATGCACCATGTGTACAAACAACGGCAAGGCCGACAAGCAAAGCAGAGATGAGCAGCGATCCAACGCTGGTGAGGAACACCACAACTACGGTTGACACCACCAAAATCCCCAAAATCTCACGAGGCGAAAATATGCGTCCGGCGATAACAAGTGGCTGATCCGAAGGACGGAACAAGTAAAGGAAAAGCCACGCACCAAGCAGAGCTAATAGAACAAGTAACGAAAAGGGGTGGGAAACAAGGGAGAGCGCGAGTGAAAGCGCGATTAGGGAAATGTAATTGATACGAAAGTATGAGAAGTTCTTGCGGATGCGGGACGCGGCTTCAGATAAGGAGTCAGGGCGGGCGAAGGAAGACCGATCGAGGAGTTCGTACCAGGGGCGGCGCTGGGAGAAGCCATGGCGGATGTTTGCGGAAAGGTTGGAGAGGAAGGAGCGGAAGGCGGGGGTGGAGATCGACTGCGACGCCGTGTCAGATTGGGATGTCGAAATCGGGAGCGTCGGTGCAGAGGCCATTAGTATTTTTGAGAGAGGAAAAAAATTGGACGCGTTAGAATTCAACGTCCAATGAAGTCTTCTCCACGGGATTTTTTGGTCCTTATATTTTTTTTACGGGTTAAAAAGGGTAAATTTTAAGGAGCCCTTACATTTTCGGTATTGTCGAAATTGACCCCTATTATAATGGCACCCGTTATTTGCTCTTCAAGAGTCTTAAATGTTTGACTCTTGCATAAATTATTTTGCCCTTTTTTAAATAGTAAAGAATAAAGAGAAAAAAAAATGCAAAAGAATTACTGAAAATTTATGGAAAAAAGTTGAAATCTCATTTATGGCGGTCAAATAAGTGAGTCAAACAATATTTTTTGAGAAAAGATTGCATCCAACTTGGAAGTATTAAAATGGACGAATCAAACCGCTCAACTCGCCTATCACTAAGTTCAGTTTAGCTCTTTAAGCAATCTAGCTAGCTCAACAAAGTACAATTCGACTCGTGAGCTATTGGCAAATCATTTGTACACGAGCCAACATGCAGCTTGCATGGCTTGATCACCGTTCGACGACCTGACAAGCAGCTCATCCTTCTTAATATTCCCAATCTAACTTGAGATTTCTAACACTGTTTTCGGTATTAATACCAGTAACTTCACAAGATCGATGGATGAGGGTCAAGTTCCTGTTTTCAATTATTGTGCTCACAGCTCACCCTCCATGGAGAATCTAACTAGAAAATTTGGAAAAATCCAATCCCATACCCTTACTTACAGCTGGAAAAAGAATCTAACTAGAAATAAAGTAAATACCAAAATGATCATGTGCTTAATTTAAAGTTCAAAAATCATATATCTATTTATTAATTACATCATGAATGTTTTACAAAAATATAAATGTAAGTACGTTGGATTGAAGAATAGAACATACAATAAATTTTCGCATACAGCTAAATTGAGCCCTTGTTTGAGGGCCATTTTCTCAAGAATGTATTTTTTTTCAAAATTCATTTTTAACAACACATTCTTCTATAAAATAATTATACACGTATTTCAACCAAACATACTATTAATTTATTGTACCACAAGATTAACATCGAGCAATATTCCAAGTAATAATACACGTTAAATGAAATTGAAAAAATTCGACTGGTTTGAATTTTCTATGACTATTAGCATTCACAAACTACGGAACAAAAGACAATGATTTTTAGTTAAAAGTTGAAATTTAGATGATATTTTGCATCATAACTTATATGGATTAATTTGGTTCTAAAATACTGGAGATTTTTTTTAAAAAGAAATATTGTTTTAGGGGAAATTATTTTATCATACAAAATCAGTTCTCTCTATAAATCCAAATACACTCACAAACAAAGCAAGTTCACATCAGCTACAAAAGTGTCCCCAAATTACAGGGCAATAGCTCAAGAAGATGAAAAGAAAATTAAGAAGAAAGAATGCACTTAGCAAGCTTAATAATCTCCAGAAATTCTAATGAAAATCACTGCTTCAGGTGATTTTATTCGATACCGTGAAATGATGGTAAGACAGCTACAAGGGGATCTCCATAACCAACAGCTTCTGTAAATCAAGTACAATTAAAGCAATAAGCAGATACATTCAGTCAACTTAAAAGCCCACACAAATAAGCAATAAGCAAATAACTAATTCAAGACATGCTTTTCCCTTTACTATTTAATGGACCATATCAAGGTGAAAGATGACAATTTTGGTCTGCTATGATACACTGATTAAAGATTTAATCCCACAACATAACTAATGGTATAAACCAGGGCTGGGCCACCCAATTCCCGAGCAACCGGCACAGGTGAATATTGTGGAAACATAATGTGTAAGATGATGATGTGCATAAGTTCAAACAGATAATAGTTGTAAGCATTTAAACAAACGGGATGAGAAACAAGGAGGAAAGCAAATCAAATACAGAGAGAAGTTTAAAACTTAATAAGCACTTGCATTTCATAGTTCCAGCTTTTTCTAATTATGAATTCAATTTGAATCAAAATTATTTATCCACTGGCATATGTGCTGATCTCTGATATTATCCTAGAAAAAACATGAAGTATACAATATATTTGAAAAGCACCATGATGAAATAGCTTGAAATGCTATAAAAGTCGAAGCTCCGGAAGTAACAAATGACTTTTCTTGGAAGGGTCCGTTATAATTCCTTATTGGAAGGAAATTATAAAATCTTTTGTCTAAACATTACACGATCTTCCTTGTAGGTTAATTTTTTTTGCCAGATAACAATCGAAATCAAAGAAATATATAATTAGCTCATTGGGAACTGTATCTAGCTTCATTAATTTAATAGATACAAGCATTGTAGTCCAGTAAATCTCCCATAATCCTAGTATTCATATATGTACACGGAGTTTCCTAAATTTAACTACTCCAATTTCTCTTAGCCAAGAGCATTTGAAAGTAAATATGTTCAATCCAATTCTGAAGATTGAATAGCAAATAAATAACAAACAGCTAAATAAATGATTTATTTATTTAGAATTAAAATTTAAAAAAAAAAAAAAAAAAAAAAAAAAAAAAAAAACCATTAACTTCTTAAGAGGGTTTTTTTGTGTGCAAAGTCATGATTGTTTTAAAACACGAATCAAGGATCAAATTTATGGAGCAATTATTTGTCTTGTAATGACTTGTATTTTCTTGTTTTTAATGAAATATAAAATGAAGTGTATGTTTCATCTTATCCTCATCAAATTTTTCAACAATGGAGTCCATGAAAAAGAAAGCCCAAATCTCACATGATAGCACATATATACAATATAAAAAGTATCCATGACATCATACCTCCATCGTCATAAAGGAGCTTCAGGACTTCTCCAGCCACATCTGACTGCTCAGAGATTATTTTGGGACCAATATGAAGGAGCAGAAAATCATAAACGGGTCATCATGAAAGCAGAGTTATATTAGAAGAAAACTAGAACAGAGGCTCACTCTGACTGGAAGTTCGGAACCAAACTGATCCAAAAAGCCTACTATTTGTCCTTCTTTGATAACATCGCCCTGTGCATAAAAAAAGGTCCTTCAAATCACTACACTAATTTGAGTACCATAACTTGAAGAGGTATTATAATATTAATTGTAAGCATTTTACAGTACGGCCAGACAATACCACTGTAGTAAACAGTCAATGAAAAACTGATTCATAAAGAAGCACCATCTACCTTATTGCTGAAAGAAGAAAGTACAGAGGTATGATCGACTCGAAAAGAATGGGTATTCTCTTTTTTTCTTTTTCCTTTTAAGGTTGTGGGTGGGAAGAGGGTGGGGTTGCGATTGGCAAAAAAATGTCAGGAATTTTCACAAGAAGAGTAACAAGACCCAGAAAATTCCTTAACAAAAAAATCACTTTTTGAGAAAAATGCTTCTAACATTTGGCTGTTTCAAGTGCTTACACATGCATGAATGTTTGAAATAAAGAATGCAGTAATTGGAACAGGCATCTTTAATTTCAAAGGCAAAAATTGGTCCAAGAAGTGTTATATGCCTTCATCCAAAAAATAGAACAAAAAAGAAAGATAAATGAGAATGGAAATAGAGAAGAGAAAGGAAAATCTCTTGTCAGGCAGTACCTCTTTACAAGCAGGAGGTTGCTTCTTTCCTTTCAAAGTCCTGGCCCTTCGGAATGAACCAACCTAAAAAAGGGAATTTGCAGAGAGTTACTGAAAGTATATTCCATTGCATACAAATAGCCATAAGAGGTCCTCAATGCTTACCTGTGGAGATGACAAGATAACATAGCCACTTGATCCTGAAGCCCCCAGTGCAGCCAACTTCGCTGCCTTATCGGCAGCAACATTTGTAAATGGGCTGATCTTTTCTGCAGAAGATTTTGATGGCGATGGTGGAGGAGCAGCAGGAGCTGATTCATTCATTGGTTCACTTGGAACAGGTGGTGCAGATGTGGGAGAAACAATTGGTTCCGGAGTGGGTGTAGGTTCAATGTTCCTCTTCACATGCATTTGAAAGCCTCCAAACTGTTACAAAGTAAGAAACATCCAAGTAAACATTAACTTCCAAGCAATACACTGGGATAGTCAGAACGTGTTTGTGACGTCATCTTTCAATTTCAAAACAATTAACACAATCAAGGTAAACAACCCAAGCTGGACATCACGCGTGAGTAATTTAATGATACAAAGCAACCACCATGTAGAACAATGACCATAACCTTGTCACTTCTTGTGGATAACCCCAAACAAACTAATGTACTGAACTTTGATACCTGTTTTCCATGTCAAATAAAGCAGTGATACAGATCAACATACTAGGCAACCATAAATAATTGCAAGGTGCTGATCATCGACAATGACATTATTACAAAGTGTCGCTCGCCAATATGTAATCAATAAACATTTTTTTGACAACTCATGCATACTGTTTTGTTGCTTCATTTATGATTAGACTCACTTGACCATCCTTCAGAAAGTAACTGATGAAATATGTACTTCTCTTTCACTGCTTCATGATAAGTTCACCAGCATAATTATGGAATACTTTATGATGCAGGTAAGACAAGCTCTATGGATTACAACATTAATAAATAAAAAACTGCATATTCCCAATAAATTTAGTGCTGGTTTCATGAAACCTCTTCGCCATTCCATTCAGTTTATCACTATATCCACAAGAAGTTCCAATCCAACTTAATCCTTCAATACCATAACAGGCCATATTTGGTCAATACTCATTACCTACCACTTCTATCATGTTCCATTTAAATCGTATCCCTCAAGTTTCTTTGGCACAATACATTCCCCAACCTAAATTGTTTTTCTCTTGGTTTATCCTCAATCATGTCACATCAAAATTGTTGGCATATATTAAGAAGTTCAACGTTTCCTGAATGACTAAACAATTCACATTCACATAAATGCAAACAAATTGCAAAGCTGATGATGGAAAAATAGATTCACCTTAATTTTCAGCTCAGCGACTTTTGTCTCCTCACAGACTTCTGTGAGCAGTGTCTGACATAAATCAAATAAGTGCGCTTGTCATGTTTCAACAAACAATAAAAGAAGATATCACTCTTATCACTAGTACTAGTACACGTAAAATTAGAACACAAGGAAGTTCCTGGGCATAAGTTCTGGCATAATGACAACTACGTAACACAAGAGATCTAGAAAGAAATGCATTGTTGTGGAGTCATATTACCAAAAATTACTGAACTTATCAATAATGAAGTTTAAACAACATACACAGAACACAATCAATAGGTTTAGCTTCTTTTCAAACAAACATAGTCTTACTTGTGATCAGAAAAGAAAATAATATCACCCTCATATGATTATTATAGAAACAACAGAAAGGCAAAAGCTTATATAATGAGTATAAAATCACTTCTAGTAATACTCTGCTTGAGTGAATTGTGTGATTTACCTTGTTTTTTTCAATAACACTTAAAATTCAATGAACATAAAATTCCTAGGACAAGGCTATATTCTTGGCATGTGAGGAGAATCATCTAGTTTCCAAGCGAAACTTCATAGGAACCCTTCCATAGTTCAACTCCAAATCATATCATATAAAACAAAAAATATCTTCGTCAGAACCATTTATGCCCACTTAATGTTTTCCTTATTAGTACTTTGAAAGCCAAGTTTTGAGATTCAAAAGAAAATACAGTAAATACTAGTGTTTCAAACATATCCATATGTCTACAACAGTTCAACTGATAACTATATATCTACTTAGAGAACAGTGTTGGAGGTATGAGAAAAAATTATCAAAAGACTAGTTGCTTTATATTTTTAAGTATACAGACGACGCAAGGCAAACACACACAAATCAGGCTGCAAAAATTTAAATGGAATGTATATCCAAAAGACACCTCAAAACCATTGGGGAACGTAGCCTGCAACGATTTCTTCTCCACTGATCCATTTTGATGATTACCTGACAAAAGAGCCCATTGGGGTCACCTGAATTTGCATCAAATAAGAAGAAAAGCTAAACTTTTGTTTCAAGTTATATGACAACAATAAAAGCTAGATCACTAAAGCGGCTTTTTATATTCCTAGGCTTACAACACAGAAATCAACAACTCACCACTGGATTTTGCTGTTCCAGTACTTTCAGAGGCCATCACAAATGGTACAAGTATTGCTCCCCGCTTATTTGTAAGTGACATGCTCTTTCCACCACAGAAGGGCAATTTGTTTAGGTTCGAAAGGGGTGCATTGTTCATAATAATTGTGGCAGGTCGTTCAAGTACAGACTTCAAATGAGAACTTGTGCTGACCGAATCTGAAAGACCACGATAATAGTCAAGCTACTACTTCATGTAAAGTCCAGTAGTTTGTATACAAGGATAACTAACATTTATGCGAGATCAGAACAGATAAGTTCTTTTATTTCACTCCACTTACGTAATTATGTTAATACTGGGTATCATTATATTGGATAATTTGGTCAAAGAGGGTGTTTACCATCCTTGTTACCTGACACTAATTCATTCATATCAACATTTTTGTTATTTAATATGTAATATATGTCCAGTAGATTACTAATTACGAAATAAGGCATGCCTTCTCTTAAAATCCACATATTTTCCGTTAAATTTACCACTTTGAGAATTATTCTATGAGAAATACGTGCAAAATATGTTTAGAGCCTACTAAAACAAGCAAATTGTTTCTCTGATTGATGTGTCCCCATACTGATGACCTAAGTACACACTTTTTGAAAGAATCTGGAGAAAATAACTCCTCTTAATTGACGATTATAAAAAAAAAAACCATCCTGGAGATGGTAAGTTCTATGATTTGTTGGGATAGATTCTGCCAAATAACGCACAGCGTATCATCAGATTTGGCTACAAAGGAATGAATTCGAAGTGATAGGGCCTCGACTTATTTCTAGAATTAGAGTTCGACCGCAACTTCCCCCCTCTGTTTCCGTATCTTCACTTAATAGACCGATTTGACTAATAACACTGGATCAAATAGCAATGGAGACATTTATTCCACTAGTTAGACCTTTGAGAAACAAAGTCATAGGCGCGTAGGTTCAAGGCCAGACCAACCACTCCAAGAGCACTCTGGCGTTACCTCCGCTTTCATGTCTCTCGGCGTGATCAGCACTGGGTGTTTCCGAGCAGACCTAGAGCTTAGGCTTCTCTTTATGTTTTGGTTCCTTTGATTGATTTATTTGTATGACCCAAATTTTAGCAACTTCCATGTCCCACCTAAATCCGTACGTGTCCAACGTCAAAGGATTGTGTGATCTGGCATTCTGCAATGTTTAGGGACTTTGTGACTGGTTTAAAGGGACTTGGTTAACTGATACTTGTTAACATGAGTTAAAGTATTTTGGGCCAGTTGGTTAGTGCCAACTATGTTCGCAGGGCCAAGAGTCTGACTTGATCCTCACCTGCAGTACCTGACACCTTCATGGTGAAACCCACTTAGTGAGCCAGGACTTGTGAAAAGGGCCATAAATTGTATACTGGATGCAACTAGTATGTCACATAATTGAGCGGAGAAGTTCATAACATTCAGTTCCACATCACTCGTGGGGGATTGTGTGAATAACATATATAGATTTTAGTGAAGAAGTTCATAACATTCAGTTCCATATCAATTGTGGAGGATAGTGTAAATAATATATAGATTTGAATAATATATAGATTTGGTCATCCACTACTTGTTAACATGAATTTAAGCTTTTTAATCCAATTCAGTTGTGACAAAAATGTTGGTAGAGCCATGGATCTAACCAAGATACTTTCAAGTAAAATTAACTAGACAATTTACAGTTGAAGAAATAGCAAGACCAATTAAATGGATATCAAGGAAAAGCTTGATGAAAAAGATAACAAAATATCTAGCTACTTGGCCAGATAATGAATACACTCGCATTAATTCTTGTTTGTTTTCTTTAAGAAAAACAACTGAACAACTATTAAAAAAACCTAGTCAGTTAGCATGGACTTGCAGGGCATAAACTGATTTTTAGGCCGTTAAATGGAAGAAAATTCCCAAAAAAAAAAAAAAAAAAAAAAAAAAAAAAA